GGAGCTCTCCAGCCATGTGTCCCCACGTGCCAGAAGCTGAGACTCCTGTGCCTTGGCCCGAAGCAGTGGTGGACTTGTTCCTTCCTACCTACTGGCACCAATATGAAGTTCCTTCATATTTTCCTAACCTGTAGGTGATCTTTACCATTAGAAATAAAGTCTGTTCTTCAGTTTTAAGAAACATTTCAAATATGAAAGAGTTACAGGGAGTGTTTCCTACCCATAAGCTCTAATGTGATAAAGGACCAACTGTTCCTATTAATTCTGGGTTTCTTAATTATTCATGGTAACTGCGGTACCCTCACTCGTAATAACTGGACAAAAAGCTTTGTGCAGTTGCTGCTCTAACTCCTGAGGGGACTGTAGGTTTCCAGCTTATGTATTTTTTTTGTTCTTTCAGGAGAAACAAAAGTTAGGAACCCTGAAGATCTGTCTGCAGAGACTATGTCAAAGTAAGGAAGCTCTTGCTCTCTCTTCCATATTTCTCTTCACAAACCTTCCTTTTCTTTCCTTGAACAATAAACTACGTGAGGACAAAAACGATTCAGGGCAGCTGGAATATAGTTTCATTTCACATAATTCTGGTATTTGTTTCTTCCTTCCATTTTGAGGACACTTAGAAATTTATTGGGAATTCTGCCTCTTCTAGATGAGTCAGACTCCAGATCGGAGTCGTTCTCTAGGTGCCCTCAGTTTTTAAACTCCCTTTAGAGATCAGTGGCTTCCTTGTGATGCAACATGCTAGAGATTTCAGAATAGAAGGCAAATTCTTTCCTCAGACATAATCAACTGGGGCATTTTAGCTTGAATTTGTCACTTTGGGTCTTCTTCAGCTTCTCAAGTGAGCATTCAGAGCGTGATGCCTTGGCCTGGTGACATCCCCAAAGTGTGGGGCACAGACCAAGACTTCCAAGTGTGGGGGGAGTTGATTTTTTCGAGCTGTTGTGACCTGCTTTGGGATGCAAATCCCCCTCTTGACAGAGCTGGGAGAAAAGCAAATACCCACTGCTAAGCACATTATGTTAGATTTAGTACAAAGAGACTCTTTGCTATGACCACAGCTAAATCACGAAGGATTTTGTAACCTCCCTATGAACAAATCCACTTGGTTTGTTGTGGGGAGGCCATGTGTGAAATGTATTCTGACTTCCATTGTAGACCTTATTGCTGCTGCTTAGGGCTTGTCAGCTCCTGATGTGTTATTGTCCTGAGGAGATGCTGTATGAAATGATTAGAATATTTTAGATCTGGAGCAGCACTACTGTGGGGATACAAAACAAATTCCTTTTGTTTTTAAACCTCTCTCTCCTCATAGCAATAAGCTTCAAAGTTATTCCTGAATTAAAGGAGAGCCTTTAATTATAGCTGGTTTTCATGTTTTTTTAATCAAGTCCTCAAGTGATTTTCTCTGACAAAGCAAACAAGCTAGTCAACTGTTTTATTTTTGACTTGTTTTCCATTTTCTAGTTGCAATATTGCTCAAATCTCCATTTCCTCAGAATGGTTTTAGTCAGGAAGGCCAATTTGGGTGTCTTAAACTAGTACTCTCCAGTAGCTTTCAGTCATTAATTCTGCTGCTGTTTAGGGTTTTGTGAATCCCACCAGCTGGGTTTCATATACTGCAGTGGAAGCTTCAGTTTAAAGTGGGTGCCTTATGGAAAGTATGGGGAAATGCATAGAATCACAGAATGATTTGGGTGGAAAAGCACCTTCCAAGGTCCTCTAGTCCAACCCCCCTGCAGGGAGCAGGGACATCTGCAACTAGAGCAGGTTGCTCAGAGCCCCGGCCAACCTCCCCTGGAATGGTTCCAGGGATGGGGCAGCGACCACCTCTCGGGGAAACCTGGGCCAGGGGCTCACCACCCTCAGTGTCAAACATCTCTTCCTTCTCTCCAGTCTGAATCTCCCACTTTCAGTTCCAAACCATGCCCTGTGTGTTAAACGAACGTGCAGGCAGGGTTGGGAACCGGACATCTGTCCTGGCTCTCTACTTTTTTCTCCCATGGTACAAATCTGCTTCAGAAGGGTATCAGGGTAGCGGTGCTGACCGTGCTTGTCTCTCTGATTGGCAGAGACGTTGGAAATGTGGTTGAAGCTCTCTACGGGGACCTTCCTCCCCCTATCATGCTGATTGGGCACAGCATGGGCGGTGCCATCGCCGTGCACACGGCCGTCGCCAATTTGGTGCCGAGTTTACTGGGTCTCTGCATGATCGACGTGGTGGAAGGTGAGGGGGGTGCACCCTTGGAGAGGGTTCTGTGCTCTCGAGTGGACTCTTGTCTTCCATGGTGCTCTTTTTCTTTTACCCTCAAATCCTCTGAGTATGGAAAGTTTTGCCCAGTTTTTAAAGCAGTGCCAATTCCATCCTCCTGACAGGTGGTACCTACACAAAAGTCTTTCTGGTGTGACTTCTCCTTTTGCTTTTCCCACATGGGCTGTTTGCTACTTTCCTGATAATTTCATAGAATCATAGAATCACTTTGGTTGGCAAAGACCTTTAAGATCATCGAGTCCAACCATTAATCCTACTCTACCACACTCTACCAAATCCTCCCCTAAGCCATATCTCCAAGCACCACATCTACACAGCTTTTAAACGCATCCGGGGATGGCAACTCCACCACCTCTCTGGGCAGCCTGTTCCAATGCCTGAAAACCCTGTCAGTGGAAAGGTTCTTCATAATGTCCAGTCTAAACCTCCCCTGGAGCAGCTTGTGACTATTCCCTCTTGTTCTAAACCATGTCCCTCAGCACCACATCTCCACAGCTTGGAAACCTCTCCAGGGATGGGGACTCCACCACTGCCCTGGGCAGCCTGGCACAGCCCTGGACAGCCCTCAAGGAGAAGAAATTGTTCCTCGTAGTCAACCAAAACCTCGCCTGGTGCAACGTGAGGCCACATCCTCTTGTCATATCACTTGTTCCTTGGGAGAAGGGACCAACCCCACCTAGCTCCAATCTCCTTTCTGGGAGATGCTGAGATACAGGAGATCTCCCCTGAGCCTCCTTTGCTCCAGGTTCAGCACCCCCAGGTCCCTCAGCTGCTCCTCACAAGACTTGTTCTCCAGACCCTTCACCTAGTAATTTCTTTGCAATGCTTCTTTGTTAGTGGGGAGGACAGTGGCTTTTTATCTAATGCATGGTGCTGATGAGTGAGTGCTGCCTCCTCTCACTATCTAAATGTCCTACCTATTCCAATTTTAATTTTCTCATGTGGGAACAGGCAGTAGGCTTAGGAGTATGAAGTTGCATTCTCTTCTAAATGCGTTCAATCCCCAGTGAGCTGCAGCTCTCTCTGAGGGTGTGCCCTGGGAGCCAGCTCTGTATAGAGGGACATGGAAATAATGTTCTTAATAAAGTTACAATGCTTGGTTTTAGGTACAGCCATGGACGCCTTGAACAGCATGCAGAACTTCTTAAGGAGTCGTCCCAAAACGTTCAAGTCCCTTGAGAATGCCATTGAGTGGAGGTAATGCATGGGCTCCAAAACCACTTGGCTTTGTAGCTTGGCTCTCAAAGGAAACAAAGTTGATATAATTTGTGTGTTTTCTCCTTTCACACTCACTTCCCCAACCACTGTCACCAATTCCTTGGCTGATTTGGCAGGGAGAGAGAGGTCAAGGATAATAAATTTCCTGGGAGAGTTGTCTGAGCTTTGGAGAAAGGTCCTCTAAGAGCTTCAACTAAAGGAGAACTTCATGGTAGGAAATGCAGCTTCCTTGTAAGTGTCCCAGCTATTACAGAGGCAGCTTGAGACATCCATCCCATGTGTGAGCAACAGGACTTATTCCCCCTTCAGCAAGAGTTAGACATTTGGCAGCTGAGTTTGAAAGGGAGAAGCCTTTTGGTTAAATTCAGACTACAGAAAGCCAAGTTCTGTTGCCAGATACACAGGTGGTGTCTGAAATGGGCATAGGCCAATTTCACTGTCCCTCAGCAGCATTTCCCCCACGTGTCTTTTCATTTCACAGTTCCAGTGATGAGTGTGAGCCACTCCAAACACCTCCTGAGAGCAGGAGGTTTGGGAATGGTCTGGGGATGTTGTGAGCTGTAAGGGGGTTTTGCTCATCTTTCTGGACCTGCTAATTCCTGAATCTGCTCAGTAAATATTTCTCCCCTTCTGATTATTTTTTTTTTCTAGTGTTAAAAGTGGACAAATAAGAAACCTTGAGTCTGCCAGAGTTTCTATGGTCGGTCAAGTCAAACAGTAGGTGGTTTTTGTTTTTGTTTTTTTAAAGCTCTTAAAATCACCTTGTCTGTTTTACAATACCATTACTCCAGAGTATAAATGCACTTGAAAGATTAAATTGCTCATCATTGTATCACAGTTGATACTGGCAGCAGCACAGAATTCTAATCATGGCACTTGGAGAGAACCTGCCCAAAATTTCCCTGGGGCAAAATCCACCAAGAGCTGTGTTTTAAAAAGTTTCACTGCTGCTGGTTGTGTATTCAGGAGAGATCAGAGGTGGGTTTGGGGGAATCAGAGTGACCTGCTTGGGCTGCTCTAAGTCCTTACCTGGAGCCTTTACAAATGTCTTGTACTCCATTAAAAAAAGCTGTTGCTGATTGTTTGGCCATTTCTGCCTCCCTTAAGTAGCTGTTTACAGTTATACACACACTGGGCAGGTGGTCCCATGACTAGTCACAACTGTGTCTTTCATTCACGGCTGCTTTTAGACTTGGGGGGGATTTTTCTTGGCCGGTGTTTGAGAAATTACTGGACACTTTACATCTAAATCTATTTTTTTCTTTATTTGTTTTGGCAGGGACTCAGTTTCTGGTTTTATTTTCACAGATGCGAAGGGGCTGCCAGTCCTGAATGTCCTAAAGCCATAGTGGAGGGTATTATTGAAGAAGAAGAGGAGGAGGAAGAGGATGAAGAAGGAGGAGGCTCTGTCAACAAAAGGAAGAAAGAAGATGACACAGAGGTAGGGGCTTCCTTGCTGTGTTTTCAGCTTGTGTTTGCATGATGCTCTCCTGCAAGAGTAGCCATCAGTCATTGTCAAAATTGTTCTAATGTACAAAGGAGCAATTCCAGGAACTAAAAACTTTATATTATTGTAACTGTTGGTTTTTTTCTTCCTTTCATGCCACTAATTCTGTCTTGCATTGTTCCCTGAGAGCACATGCTTGGTTTTCGTTCCTGAGATGCTCACAGATTCTATGTGTATGGCCTGAAATGGGGCTTGTGGCCTGAATGAGGAATTGTCTTTCAGAGTCTGTATGGTATTTCAGTTCTTTTCCAAGGCAGAGTAACATTTAGTAAGTTGTATGTGTAATTGCAACCTAGGAATGTAAATTCCTTGAGGAAAACCATTGTAGCCAGCTTAGCCCCTTGTATTTCTATGCCACCTAAGTGAGAGCCACGTCTGAACATTCAGACAATTCTTAAGCTATTTGTGCCAGTAAAAAGCAACAAATTGAGTGCCCTGGAAACTGCAGCCTTCAATTCATCTATAGGTGTAGCTCCTGCTGCTTTTCTCCTTCCCTACTCTGTAATTTGGAGAGGAATTTTGGAGCAGGGAGGGTCATCCCCTGGAAGTGTGTAATCCACCAGAGGGAGCCAGTATTTTTGAGATATGTTTCCATCTGACTCTGAGTTCCTTTAATTTCAGCTGTTTTACTGATCAGTAACCCAGAGCTCTCTCTCTCCTCCCTGCAGACAAAGAAGGAGCACTTATACACGTGGCGAATTGAACTGGCAAAAACAGAGAAGTACTGGGATGGCTGGTTCAGGGGTCTGTCTAACCTCTTCCTAAGCTGCCCAACTCCAAAGCTTTTGCTTTTAGCTGGTACGTGTCTCTTCCAGTCCTGTTAGGTTCACTGTTTAGGTTCAGTGGCCACTCATTTCAGTAGTGTCATCACAGACTGGTTTGGGCTGAAGGGACCTTTCAAGGGCATTCAGTCCAGCCCCCTGCAGGGAGCAGGGACATCCCCAACTAGAGCAGGTTGCTCAGAGCCCTGGCCAACCACATCTGGAATGGTTCCAGGGATGGGGCAGCGACCACCTCTCGGGGCAACCTGGGCCAGGGGCTCCCCACCTTCAGTGTCAAACATTTATTCCTTCTTTCTAGTGAAAATCTCCCTCTTTTAGTTTCAAACCATCCCCCCTTGTCCTGTCCTAACAGGCCCTGCTCAAAAGTCTGTCCCACTAACCCTAACTTGGCCCCACTTGCATTTTGTAGAAAAGGGCCAGCATTTGGCTTATGTCTTTCTCTGAGAATAACAGAGGTGTCTCTTCCACCTCGGTTTGTGCCTGTAACTTTAAATATCATAAAATGGCCCATTTGAGTCATGCAGATCTGGTTTTATTTTCAGATTTTTGGAACATTTCAAGCCTCTAGTATCAAAGCACCAGATAAGGACACACTGTGTAATGCTGCTGTTCTGTGGTGTGGAAGAGGGAAGAGCCAGGCTGCCCCTAGCCTCCTACTACCGTGACATTTTCTGACAGATAATGGTGTGATTTGAACTTTTCAACTGAACATCAACTTAGTGATGTTCTACGGGCAGCTATAAGCTCCTTTTGTACCCTGATAGGACATTAAGTGTGTATCCAAGATAACCACACATTTACATTGTAGGGTAGGGCATGTTCTTGCATTTTTGGCTGGGATTCTTTCTTGTCACTTGACTCTTTTGAGGTGTAGCAGTGAAAAGTCCTTGTGGGTGTCAGGGATGACTTTTTTTTCTGGGTTTTTCAAGCAAAAAAATGTCAGGTAAAACTCCACTTAGTCATGTTCTCTCTGGCTTTTCTCCAATACATCTCTTTATTTGATTGTAGGTGTTGACAGGCTGGATAAAGATCTAACAATTGGACAGATGCAAGGTAAATATATAATATTGTTACTCTCTCCTCTTTTGGGGTGATAGTTTGTTGCTGTGGGTACACAAACAAGAGGGAGCTGGAATAGCCTCCTACCAGGTGCAATCTGTGTTGAAACAAACATGCATTAAAGAATTAGTCCATCCCAAAGGGGTTTTAAACAGGGAGGGTGGAGAAGTTGAGAAGGGTTGTTGCCATGGCTTTTGTTCATTCTCATGTTTAATGTTTCCAGCAATCATAAAATCATAGAGTGATTGTCTGTGAGGGTGTTTTTCTAATCTGTCTTTCCCTTCTACTTACATTCCTGATGGTTCCTAGATAGAACACTTGGGACCATCCAAGGCTCTCTGGTCTCCTGGTGTTTCTGGCAGACACCAGACCAAATTTCAGCATGCACATTCGTTATTCAGGTTGCTGGGTTTTTTTCCCCCCATCCCCATTTCATTGATTTCCAGAGCAGCCAGTACTGGGAAGTGGCATTGGGTAGCAGGATAAACATTACTGTGAGGTAGATCTGGTAACAGTTCCAGCTCTTGAAAGGTAGTCTTTCCTGCACTGAGAAGCTCCAAGAAGTTCAGCTTCATTTTAACTCCTGGCAACCTGCTCTGCTTACACTTGGGGAAGATGAATTAAGCAACTGGTTTTTGCTTTCTTTGGAAACCAGCTGCTGTGTGTATTGTACAATTTACCCTAGAATCCTGTTCACCCGAGGGAGATTTAGTGAAGTTGGTCTGTAAAGGATGCAAGACCCTTTTTAGAAGAGTTAGAAATCAAGAGCACTCCAGAAGCAGCTCCAGTGATGACTCTCTTGATCCACAGGGAAGTTTCAGATGCAGGTCCTCCCACAGTGTGGCCACGCGGTCCATGAAGATGCTCCAGACAAGGTGAGCCCTGCCATGGGGTTGAAACTAGATAAGTCACCATCTTCACAGCTGGAATGCAAAAAGGGTTTGTTCTTCACTGTGCAGCAGAGATGATACTTCAGGGACACTTCTTTGGCATGACATCTGAACAGGCTGTTCACAAACCAGCTTGGATTTTTAAGCTGGCTGGAAAGCTGGAGCTAAGATGTTACATGACACAGGGCTTGGCGAGCTTACAGAATTCACTCTCAGCCTAGTGGTGATATAACTGACTCCTACCATGTGGAGTGATGATTTATCTTCCCTGCCTCTCCTCATCAAATTCTCTGCTCTCCCTTGTGCTAAGCTGAGCTTTTGGGATTGGTTTGTGTTTTGCTGAGTTGATTGGCTCACATTTTTCAAAGCCAACGGAAATGTCACAGAAACAGCTTACAGAGTGACAGAGCAGTGCTGCAGCTGGGTGCTGCTGAAGCTCAGTGTCCAGAGACAGGCAGGAATGTAGTGCAGCCAGTGGAGCCTGTGGTTGGAAACATGTCTGGCTTTAAAGCTTTTTCTACACTGTGAGTGTAAAAACTCAGCCTCACTTTACTAATCTGAAATGAGGATTTTTGTCTGCACCTACTGAGTCCTCACATTGTTATGCTTTTAAATACACATTTTAAGCAGTATTATTACTGTCAGGTTACTTTCTTGATTTATTCTCTATAGGAATAACTTGCATCATGATACACAGAATCCCAGCATGGTGGGGGTGGAAGGGACCTCTGGAGATCTTCTCCTTCAACCCCCCTGCTCCAGCAGGTCATGCACAGCATGGTGCCCAGGATCACATCCGGGAGGGTTTGGGATCTCTCCAGAGCAGGAGACTCCACAGCCTCTCTGGGCAGCCTGCTCCAGGCTCGGCCACCCTCCCACCAAAGAAGTTTCTCCTCCTGCTCAGGTGGAACCTCCTGGGTTCCAGTTGGTGCCCATTGCCCCTTGTCCTGTCACTGGGCACCACTGACAAGAGTCTGGCCCCAGCCTCTTGCCCCCTGGGGCCCTTTAGCTCTTGCTCAGCCTTGATCAGATCCCCTCTGAGGCTTCTCTTCTGCAGCTCAGCAGCCCCAGGGCTCTCAGCCTGTCCTCAGCCTTCACCAGACTTTTTTTTTCCCCGCTAAACATAGGCATTGTTTTAAGGATTACTGAAAGAGGTAGAGAAAAAATTTGGTCAGCTCTTAATTGTGGGATCAGTGTAAGAGTGAAGGTGGAAGCATGCAGTGGCTTCTGTTATATATAAATAAAGGCATTTTAGGCAGAGCTCTTTGTTTTAGAGGAGCCAACTTGATTCAGCAAGAGGGTCCTGAGGACACAGACTCTTGCTGGCAAGGCTGCAGGCTTTGCAGCCTGACTGAATTTCTTGTTCTCTTGGTGTCCCTTTGAATTCTGAGTGATTCAGATTTTTTCTCCCCCTTTCCCTCAGGTTGCTGAAGCTGTTGCGACGTTCCTGATCCGTCACAGGTTTACAGAGCCCATCGGTGGATTCCAGTGGTAAGGTTCTGTGGGTGCTGGAGCTGCACAGGCCTCGAGCAGAGCCCTTTTTTAGCAGTAAGCCAAAAACAACCTGTGAACAAACAGCTTCCAGTCATAGTCACTAATCTCTTTGATGGTTTTGTGTTCTCTCTAAAGTTCTTGCTTATTAATGTGTGGTAATGAGACATCCTTCCTTAGAGGGGAGGAGTGAAGCAGATCCTCCCCAGCTGATTCCTTTCTTTATCACCTGCCAGAAGGCAGAATTACAAGCTCTGGTATCTAGTTTAAATAGCATTTTATTTAAGTAATCAAGGCCTTGTGTTTTGGAAACAACTTCCAGCACGTTTCTTTGGCCAAGAAATATCTGATGAGATTAGACAGGTAGAGCTGCATGCTTCACGTTGCTGACTTTACATCCTTATCGCCTGGGTTTTGAAGTCATGAGCTGTAGGAGCCTCTGTGGTGAGAACGGGTTGTGACTGAGAAGGCTGATCAGAAAGACTCCCAAAGTCTTCTTTACAGTACCATAAAGCTGGCAATTAAACCAAAATAATAGCAAGTTATATAAATAAACCAGCCAGCTGAACATGAGCCAGGGTGTGCCCAGGTGGCCAAGAAGGCCACCAGCATCCTGGCCTGGATCAAAAAGCGTGGCCAGCCAGGAGTAGGGCAGGGATCATGCCCCTGGACTTAGCAGTGGGGAGGCCACAGCTTGAGGACTGGGGTCAGTTTTGGGCCCCACAGGATAAGAAAGACCTTGAGGGGCTGGAGTGGCTCCAGAGAAGGGCAACGAAGCTGGGGAGGGGTCTGGGGAACGTGGCTTGTGAGGAGCAGCTGAGGGACCTGGGGGTGTTGAGGCTCAGGGGGAGACTTTCTGGTTCTCCACAGCTCCCTGAAAGGAGGTTGGAGTGAGGTGGGGGTTGGTCTCTTCTCCCAGGTAACCAGTGACAGGATGAGAGACACTGGGCTGAAGTTGCCCCAGGGGAGGTTTCCATTGGATCTGAGGCAGAATTTCTTTCCTAGCAGAGTGGTGAGGCCTTGGCCCAGGCTGCCCAGGGAGGTGCTGGAGTCCCCAGCCCTGGAGGGGCTCAAAAAGGCAGGAGACCTGGCACCTGGGGCTATGGTTTAGTGATCATGGGAGTGTTGGGCTGATGATTGGACCTGATGATCTTAGAGGTCTTTTCCAACCTTCGTGATTCTGTGATTCGATTTCCTAAGCAGTCTGGAAAAGTCTTCCTGCTTGCAGGTAAAAATTCTTCAAGAGAAGCTGTGAGCTCCAGAATGTGTGACGCTGTAGGACTGGCCATGCTGCAGAGGTATTGCTGGATGAGCCCTTTTTTTCCCTCTTTATCCTGTGCCCCTGAGGGTGGAAGAGTAGAAGTGCAGGTCTGTGGACTGCATGGTTTAAATCCACTTGGAGAAGGTGTAGTGGCTTCCTGGCCTTGTTGTGTCCTTAAGCCACAGACAGCAACATACTAAGTTGTGCTTCTCACTATTCTGTAGCTTACAAGTTACTGTTGAATGCATCAATTCTGATCTTAACCTGTGTGACAGGCTGCTTTTCATAGACTTATGGAATCATTAAGGTTGGAAAAGACCTCTAAGGTCATCAAGTCCAACCATCAACCCGTGACCATTAAACCATGTCCTGAAGTGCAACATCTACAGGCTTTGTTTGATCTAAATTCAGGGTGTCTCGGGGTCAAACACCTGCAGAGGATACCTCAATTTTAACATGTGACCTTTCTTCCATTCTCCTTTTTCCCTCCTAGTGTGTTTCCTGCTTGTTAATATCCTGGTGTTCTCCAGCACTGAGTCCTGTTGTAAATAAACTGCACCAGAGGCCACTGTGATGTATCCATATCCTTTCATCTCTCCAATTCAGCAGCAGTGAGAAGTTGGTGTGTGAGATTCATCCCCTAGAACTAGTTCTCTAGAATGTGTAAACGCTTTAGGGACTTCCTTGCTGGGAAGCAGCTTGTACTGAAGACGGTGAAAAGCTCCTCAGGCCCTTGGGAGTGGGCTCCTCTCTGCTGCCACAAGGAAAGACCTCCTGAAATCCCAAGGAATCCATCAAACCGATCTCCATCGATTCTCAGGCTTTCTTGGACCCAACTGCAAAGGGGCTGTTGGCTGTCCAGGTCCACCGAGGGCACTGCAGAATAGCCAAAGGCTCCAGGATTCCTCCACGGAATCATCTAATCATCTTGGAAGTGCCCCTTAGGTTTGTTTTTTTTTTATACACACATTTCTTTCCCCTAAAGCAGACACGGAATTGGCTTCGTTGGGAGCTCAGGTTCCATCTCATCAACACCAGCCTTATGGGTTAAGCCATGGGAAGAGCCTGGGTGCTACTTTCCTGAGCAAAGTCGGATGGGACTGGAAAACAGAAAGGTGAGGGGGGACCCTGAGCTCCATTTCAGAGTCTTGCAGCTTTCTTAATGCTCATAACAAGTTCTCACTGAGAAAAATCGCCTGGATAACTCCATCTGCTGCACACACATCACAGACAGGGGACCCTGGGCCTGTGTTTATGGGGAAGACCCAAGAATCTGCCTGTCTGGTCGTTCTCTGCCCCTGGAATGTGTGTGTGCTTCCCTTCGTGTAGCTACTACACGCAACGGAGCGGAGACCAGCGCCTTTGGGATGAGAACATGGCAGAAAGTGCAGCAGAGAAAACCCCAGAAGAGCTTGGAGCCAGTCCTGCTGATGTCGACGCAGAGCCGTGGGCAGCTGCTGCTGCGTTACACTCCCCCAGGACTGGAGGACAGACTCTGGTGTCACTGTCCCTTCCCAGGTCATTCTGCTGCCTGCCTTCCATATTTCCATGTAAATGCAGGAATTCCAGGGAGAGCTGTTCTTCAGGGTTAAATTATCCACAGACAGTTTGCCAGATTGCTTTCACGCTCTTGAGCCTAAGAGCAGACACATTTTGGAGCAGGTTTCCTCAATATTTTGCTGGTGGATGTCTGAAATCTTATTCTTTTGTTTGTAGTATTATTATTTTGCCTTGTGTCCATTAGCCCTTGATGCTGTATGATGGAGGCAGCTTTCTGATGCTGTTCTGCTGAGGCAGAGCTCTGGGGTTGGCCCAGTTTGGGAGCATACATCCTGTGACAAGAGCCATCAGGAATTCCTGGCCTTTGAAGGGTGCGGGCGGGAAGGAGGACGAGGTGAAGAGCTGGCAAAGCCCCGCTGAACGTCGGCGTCAACCTTGGTGGAGAGCAGCTCTTCTCAGATTCATCTCCACGTAAGCCACAGGAAAGACACAGCAGTCGTGGCTTTGCTCCGTGTCCCCTCTCTGACACACTGGGGTGGGAAATGCCTGAGTTAAGTGAAGAAGGCCTCATTCCAGAGAGCAGTCCTCTCTCCTGGCCCTTTGGCCAGCGACACTCAGGTGGTAAAGAGCAGTTGCTCCCAGCTCTTCCCTCCCTGAGCCACCGCGTTTATTTACTATGACCTTGATGTGACGTCCAGCCCTGGTTGAGCTGCTGATGGGTTCAAAGGATCTTCAGTGGCCGAGATGCAAAATAGCACTTCTCCCCCAGTGCACCCCGAAGACCGGCAAAATTCTCGGTCCTGTCCAGATGACTCCTGCATTCAGGTTGTTAGAGATGGGACACTACAGCATTCAGAGCCTGGCTTCACGGGCTGGTTAAGCATGTGCCTGTTGTCATACTCATGACTGATCTTGGTACAGCCACATTCCTCCGTGCTGAGCTCACTTGGAGTGATTCCTTGTGGTAACTCCTCGACGTTTCCCTCTCACGTTATCCCTTTCATTTGCTTTTCCAGTTTGCGAGATATTAAAAAAAAGAAAAAAACTCATCCAGCCAAAACCCTCTCTGAAAAGCAAAGGAAAATCAGGTTTGTGTTCTGTAGAAGCACCGTTGGAAAATGACTGATTGTTTCTCACCCTGGTGGGCTCCCCAGAATTCTATTTTGTTGTTAACATTTGAGAAGTGAGTGAAAAGAAAAAAATAAACATTTCAACAGCCTGTTGAACGTGGTGTTTGCTCCATGCCGAGCTCTCAGTGCTGACTCGTGCAGGCTCAGGGTCTCTTGTGGTGATGGCTTTAAAAAAAAAGGTGACTCTGAGGATAGTGGGTGGGTGGGTGGAGGGTGAATTCCTTTCGTCTGCGTTGAGCCACGTGCATTCCAGAGACTGCTTTTGTCTGAAAAATATTAATGCTCCTCTCGGAGCTTTTTCTCCCTTTTCAGGGGGCTCCAGGCAGGGATCAGTGGTATTTAGGTGAAAGGCAGCACAGAGAGGAGCTGCAGGGAGAAGAAACGTTCTCTTTGACTCATGAAAAACAGGGACATTTAGAAGATCCCCCCCTACCTACCAACTTTTCCAGGCGTTTTTCCAGCTTGTTGTGCTGTGTGGGTAGAGCAGGCGGCCAGGAGGAGGCTGCCTGGGCTGCAGGGATGCTGGGTTGATGCTGGTGCTTTGGGTTATTCAGGAATCCCTCTGGCTTTTGTCCCAGCTGTCGCATTGAGGACGGGTGGAAACTTTCACAGCGGAAAACCCCGCGGCTCAGCGGGTGCAGAAGGTGCCATTGGAAAGCCTGGTGTGTCCTGGGGCTCTCTTACATTTTCCAGTCCAGACCCAGGGGGGGATTTGCCAGCTCATGGGTTATATACCCCAGACAAACCCCTGGGTGACTTGTAGAGATTCCAGAAGCTGGAGGTGGTTGGAAGAAGATGTCTCCTGTGTTGCGGAAGCGTGTAGCTCTGCTCCAAGTACAGATGCATGGCCTTGCACATGTGCTTCCTCCCTGGGGGTGTTCTCAAAGGGCTTGTGGTGACCTGGGTGACTGATGCACAGGGGCAGGTGCTGGGTGTTGAAGCAGCTCCTAGCCCATGCTGCTGTGTATGGCTCACTTTGCTCTTCAGCAGGGGCTTCTTTCTCTTCGGCCTGCCCCCAGCCAGATGGGAAGGGGATGGGAGGTGGTACCAAAGCCAATTAGAAACACCGACCCTTGGGGTGACTTTCTGTGCAACTGAGACGCCCTCTGAAAATAATGAAACACCCTAGTAAAGCACAGAGTGAGTTGTAAAGTGAGTTGGACGGGCTGGGGAGTTGGGTGGAGAGGAACCTCATGAAGTTAAACCAGGGTAAGTGAAAGGTTCTGAACCCGGAGAGGAATAACCCCCTGCCCCAGTAGAGGTGAGGGGTGAGCTGCTGGGAGGTTCCCCTCCCCCTCTACTCTGCCCAAGTGAGGCCACCTTAGGAATATTTAGTCCAGTTCTGGCTCCCCAGTTCCAGAGAGAGAAGGAACTACTGGAGAGAATCAAAGAATCACTATGGTTGGAAAGGACGTTGAAGATCACAGAGTCCAGCTGTTACCTAACCCTGCCAAGCCCCTTCTACACCGTATCTAGCAGAGGCTGCGGAGCTGCTGAGGGGCCTGGAGCATCTCTGTGCCAGGACAGGCTGAGAACCCTGGGGCTGCTGAGCTGCAGAAGAGAAGCCTCAGAGGGGATCTGATCAAGGCTGAGCAAGAGCTCAAGGTCCCGCGGTGGGCAAGTGGTGCCCAGCAACAGGACAAGGGGCAACGGGCACCAACTGGAACCCAGGAGGTTCCACCTGAGCAGGAGGAGAAACATCTTTGGTGTGAGGGTGGCCGAGCCTGGAGCAGGCTGCCCAGAGAGGCTGTGGAGTCTCCTGCTCTGGAGAGATTCCAAACCCACCTGGATGTGATCCTGGGCACCCTGCTGTGGGTGACCTGCTGGAGCAGGTGGAGGAGATGATCTCCAGAGGTCCCTTCTAACCCCACCATGCTGGGATCCTGTGACTCTGATCTCAAGGTCGAGGAGCTCTTAGAGGTGAGGTTGTCACAGATTCCATCGATAGCACCAGCAGCCCAGTGAACACAGTGCTGAGGCAGTTCAGAGTGAACCTTCTCACTTCACTTCTTTGCAGAGCAGGACCAGGCAGTGGCAAGAGGGAAAAGCCACTTTTCCTTCAGTGAGACTGTCCCAGGTCTCCTCAGACTTACCCAGTGTGCTGCAACATTCAGCAGGTCTTCGGTGACCACAGGAGAACCTGTCGGGGACTAGGGCAGGGCAGATAGCTTCATGCTGGTTTTTGCCACCTCCTTGACTTCAGCACTGATGTTTCTCCTCCCCCCTGCTCTTGATTTTTATCTTGGGTGTGGAAGGGCCGGGGAGAAGAGGTGCTCAGAGGTGTCTGGCAGTCACCCAGTCCCTGGTTCTAGCTGGTGCTCGATACTCCTGAAAACCTGGACCTTAGATCTTCAGTTAAGGCCCAAAACTTATCGAATCACAGAATGATTTAGGTTGGGAGGGACATTTCAAGGCCATCCAGTCCAACCCCCCTGCAGGGAGCAGGGACATCTGCAACTAGAGCAGGTTGCTCAGAGCCCCGGCCAACCTCCCCTGGAATGGTTCCAGGGATGGGGCAGCGACCACCTCTCGGGGCAGCCTGGGCCAGGGGCTCACCACCCACAGTGTCAAAAATGTCTTCCTTCTATCTAGTCTAAATCTCCCACTTTCATTTCCAAATCTTTCCCCTGTCTTATCCCAACAGGCCCTGCTCAGAAGTCTGTCCCCAGCTTTCTTCTAGGCTCATTGAAGTCCTGGCAGGCCACCAGAAAGTCTCCCTGGAGCTTTCTCTTCTCCAGACTGCCCAAGCCAAACTCTCTCAGCCCATCATGAACATTTTTTAGTTTGCCATTCCCAAGAAAACTTGGCCCTAGTGCATTTTAACACTCGGCTCCAGGAGTGGTGGTTCCCTGGGCACCTGAACCTGGGGTCTGAGCCCAGACCCACCTCCCTCAGCTCCATCCTCTGCCCTGGTCCCGGCTCCAAAACCCACTGGATGTTTCTCAGCTGTTGGAGTCTTGGTGTTTTAGACCAAACTTTGCTCAGCCTGGTGGGGTGACCTCAACCATGTGCTGCTGTTCCTGACGGGACAATGTGTGTGTGTGTGGGTGGGCTGGAGCCCACACTCCCTGTCCTGTGTCAGCCTCATCCTGTTCAGGTCCTGGTCCCTTCCCTTTCTCTCGCCTTCAAATAAAGCATTAGTGAAAAGCCTGGGGGAGAAACTTCTCCTTTCTCCTGCTCCTCACAGCAGCCCGTGGAGGGAAAGTCTCAGACCTGGGCCAGACTCCAGCTTTAGGTTTTTCTGGTGACTCACGGAAGCTTCTCATCATCCGAAATATTCCCCCAGCCCTTCTCTCTGCAGTGGGGGGAGGAGGGGGTGATACTTCCAACCTCAGCCTGAGGGTTTTCCAGGACCAATGGCTCCCACATGTTC